CCGCTGGCCAGGCATAAGTTGGAAGTCGGACATCCTTAGCACTACCGGGAAGGTAGGAGAGGCTCCTGCACTGCCCCTGTGCTTGCCAACCAGTTTTGAGTCTGGCTTCTGGCTGAGCGGCATTCCCCCTGTGGAAGCACATTGACCACTAGGAGGCAGCTCCTGCATTGAATATCTGCCCCTTGGTGATCAGTGTGTGTCATACTGACTGGTCATTCTGCCATTTAGTCGATTTGTACATCAGCCTTTTTTATTATATTTACTACAGGTCCAGTGCACAAAATTCATGCATAGGTGTGTGTGTGTGTCCCTCAGCCCAGCCTGCACCCTCTCCAATCTGGGACTCCTCAAGGGATGTCCAACTTCCCTCTCACAATCCAGGACTGCTGGCTCCCAACTGCTCACCTGTCTGCCTGCCTGCCTGATTGCCCCTAACTACTTCTGCCTGCCAGCCTGATCAGCACCTAACCACTCTCCTGCCAGCCTGATTGGTGCCTGTTTCCCTTCTAGCCTGTTTACCACTAACTGTCCTTCCCTGCAGCCCTGGGTCCCCTCTCCCCCTCCAACTGTGCTTCCCTGCAGGCCCAGTTGCCCCCAGCTTCCCTCCTCTGATGGGCCTGGTCACCCCTAACTGTCCTTCCCTTCAGGCTTGATCGCCATCAAACTGCCCTTCCTTGCAGGCCTGCTCCCTCCCAACTTCCCTTTCTTGCTGGCCATCTTGTGGCAGCCATCTTGTGTGTTGGAGTGATGGTCAATTTGCATATTACTCTTTTATTAGATAGGATAGAGGCCTCGTGCATGGGTGGGGGCCAGTTTGTTTGCCCTAAAGGATGTCCCAGATCAGGGTGGGGGTTCCCTTGGGACATGGGGCGGCCTGGGTGAGGGGCTTGTGGTGGTTTGCAGGCTGGCTATGTCCCAAGAGGAGGCTCTGGTATCTGGGATTTATTTATATTCTACAATTGAAACTTTATAGCCTTGAGTGGAGGCCTAGGCTGGTCAGGGTGTGTGGAAAGCTTGGCTTCCTCCATTACCAGGCAAACCCAAGCCTCCTGCTTGCTCCATGGCTGCAGCCATCTTGTTTGGGTTAATTTACATACTCGCTCCTGATTGAGTGGTGGGTGTGGCTTGTTGGTGTAGTGGAGGTACGGTCAATTTGCATATTACTCTTTTATTAGACAGGATAATAATAAAAGCATAATATGCAAATTGACTAAATAGCCAAATAGCAGAACTGCTCCGATGACCTTCCAGACAACCTTCCAGATGAAGCCAGAGCTGCAAGGGCCAAGGCAGCTAGGGCTGGCTGTGAGGGCTGAGGCATCTGGGGCTGTGCAGGCCTACTCTTTTTTTTTTTTTTTTTTAATATATTTTATTGATTTTTTCACAGAGAGGAAGAGAGAGAGAGAGATAGAAGCATCGATGAGAGAGTGTCATCGGTCAGCTGCCACCTGCACGCCCCTCACCGGGGATGTGCCCACAACCAAGGCACATGCATGCCCTTGATTGGAATCGACCCCAGGACCCTTCAGTCCGCAGGCCGATGCTGTATCCACTGAGCCAAACCAGTTTCGGCTGAAGGCCTACTCTTGCATGAATTTGTGCATCAGTCCTCTAGTCCTACCTAGAAATCCTATCTAATAAAAGAGTAATATGCAAATTGACCACCACTCCAACACACAAGATGGCCGCCCCCATGTGCACACAAGATGGCCACCACACGATAGCTAGAAGGGGAGGGCAGTTATGGGTGATCAGGCCAGCAGGGGAGGGCAGATGGGAGGGACCAGGCCTGCAAGGGAGGACAGTTGGGGGTGATCAGGCCTATAGGGAAGGGTAGTTAGGGGTGACTGGGCTGGCAGAGGAGGGCAGTTGGGAGCAACCAGGCCTGCAGGGAAGAACAGTTTGGGGGGACCAGGCTGGCTGAGGAGGGCAGTTAGGGGCAATTGGGCTGGTAAAGGAGCAGTTAGGCATTGATCAGGCTGGCAGGGAGTGATTAGGGGGTGATTAGGCTGGCAGACAGAAGCAGTTAGGGGCAATCAGGCAGGCAGACAGGTGAGCAGTTAGGAACCAGCAGTCCTATATTGTGAGAAGGATATCCAATTGCCTGTTTAAACATCCCTTGAGGGGTCCCAGATTGTAGAGGGTGCAGGCTGTATTGAGGGACACAGCCTCCCCTTCTCCCCCCCCGTGCACAAATTTCATGCACTAGGCCTCTAGTAGAATTTCTAAAAGGCTTATATGTGATGTATCCCTGCGGGAGTTTGACTGGGAGACCAGGAGTTCTATTGCTTGCTATGACATTCGCTGCCACCAGAGGTTAGCACAGATTGAAGGAAAGCCCTGGACAGAAGTTGGAAGGCACTGATTGGCCCTGATTGCTGACTAGGTCTAGGGACCCTACCTGTGCACAAATTTGTGCACTGGGCCTCCAATACAATAAAATGTTTAGTAATAGCCCAAAGAAGAGAGTTTTTGGAGGGATTACCGATATCACAGTTGAAAAGCATCTTGAAGAATCCACTAAGTATTTAAAAAGAATTGTAGCCGAAACTGGTTTGGCTCAAAGGACAGAGCGTCAGCCTGCGGACTGAAGGGTCCCAGGTTCGATTCCAGTCAAGGGCATGTAACGTGGTTGTGGGCACATGCCTAGTAGGGGGTGTGCAAGAGGCACCTGATTGATGATTCTCTCTCATCGATGTTTCTAACTCTCTATCCCTCTCTCTTCCTCTCTGTAAAAATTCAATAAAATATATTTAAATAAATAAATAAATAAATGCTTAAAAAAGGTAAAAAAAAAATAAATAAATAAAAAGAATTGTAAAAAAAACCTTACTCTGGCAGCGAAAAAAACACATGAATAAAAATATTGTATTTAATGACATGTTATGTTCTGAGAAGAACAAAATTCTTTGGAATAATTGGTATACAGGACCTAAAGGATAGTAGCAGGAGGAGGTAGGGGCTGTATTTTGGAAAGTATTAACATTATGCAAATAAGTTTTGAAAGTAGTGAGTAGAGGGGAAGCTATTTAGTATTTTCCTGTTTTAATTTGGTAATTAGTCTCAATAAGTAAAACATCTCCCGAAACCGGTTTGGCTCAATGGATAGAGTGTCGGCCTGGGGACTGAAAGGTCCCGGGTTTGATTCCCGTCAAGGGCATATACCTTGGTTGCGGGCACATCCCCAGTAGGGGGTGTGCAAGAGGCAGTTGATCGATGAGTCTTGCTCATCGATGTTTCTAACTCTCTATCCCTCTCTCTTCCTCTCTATAAAAAATCAAAATATATTTAAAAAGAAAATATGTAAAAAATCTTTCACCTGCTAGTGATATCATACTAGGTCCAGCATACTTAATAGTTGTCTCTAATGATAAAAAAAAAAAAAAAAAAATTCAACCAGTGACAGTATTTTTATAACATTATATATTGGGCATGTGCGTACAAACTATAAAATTAATTAATTAATTAACTTAATAACTTATATTTATTTATTATAGAGCAGTGGTTGGCAAACTCATTAGTCAACAGAGCCAAATATTAACAGTACAATGATTGGTATTTCTTTTGAGAGCCAAATTTTTTAAACTTAAACTTCTTCTAATGCCACTTCAAAATAGACTCACCCAGGCCATGGTATAATATTTTGTGGAAGAGCCACACTCAAGGGGCCAAAGAGCTGCATGTGGCTCTCAAGCCTCAGTTTGCTGACCACTGTTATAGAAGATTAATAGATTCTTAATAAGGAATTTTCCAGATAGCGAAATGACTTAAATGCCTGTATTTTGATATATTTTATAGTAGTATTTTTTTCTTTGTCCTCTTTTTTTTTTTTTTTCTTGCTAGTCCTCTTCTGAGGATATTTTCCCACTGATTTTAGAAAGGGGGAGAGACAGATAGAGGGAACCATTAATATGAGGGATGCATTGATTGGTTGCCTCCTGCATGCATCCTGACTCAGACTGGGGATCAAGCCTGCAACTGAGATATGTTCTCTTGACCAAAATCTAACCCAGGACCATTCAGTCTACAAGTCAATGCTCTATCTACTGAGCCAAACTAGCCAGGGCATATAAGATATTTTTTATTAAAGAAAAATTTGAAAGATGCATAATTACCCTAAAACTCCTGACTCGAATATTAATATTGGTATTTTTTGCATAGTTTCTTTCAGTATTAAATCATGTATGTATATCACTTTATACACATATATAATTTCACATAATTTACATACCTGTAGTCATAGATTCAATTTCATATTTTATATTTTTATTTCCTTTTAGCATTATGTCATAGACTTTTCTCTTATTACACAATCTCCACAATTAGGATATTAATAAAGGGTACCAATAATATGGATATAAGTCAGGAGCTGGGAAGGAATGAAATCAGGAAATGTTACAGAAAATATTGTTTGTTTTTGCATAGCAGATACTACCGGTATGATAGCATGGCACAGTAATATTGATTGTTGATGTGACTATAGTAATGAATGCCTCTTTTTATTACTTGCTTTACTAAGCAAGATAAATGAGCTGAGAAAGAGACACCTTGTCTCTGAAGGTGGTTTTAGTAGTAATGGTATATATCATCTTGGTTTATATTGATAAAGTGAGACTTGAATTCATCCCCTGAAATTACCTTTATAGGACCAGTATTTTTGGTTTAACAGTTGCCTTTTAGTAAATTTAAAAAAAACCTATATTTTATTGATTTTTTTACATAGAGGAAGGGAGAGGGATAGTCAAAAACATCAATGAGAGAGAAACATCCATCAACTGCCTCCTGCACACCCCCTACTGGGTATGTGCCTGCAACCAAGGTACATGCCCTTGACCAGAATCGAACCTGGGACCTTTCAATCTGCAGGCCGATGCTCTATCCACTGAGCCAAACTGGTTTCGGCTGCCTTGTAGTAAATTTTAATATTTGATTCTTCATTCCTTCTCTTCTTGTCCTCTTGCTTTGAATAAATAATATACATTATTTTATTTTATTTACAGAAAATTTCAAAGTTACCTTCAGTTTTCAGAATGATTGTTCCTTCAATTCCTTCTTATGGACCGTCATATGGTTATCATCTTAATGAGGATGGCAGTATTAAAAAACATCTTCCACCTGCTAGTGATATCACACTAGGTCCAGCATACTATAAACCTCAATTTGTAAGTTAAAGCATTTAATATTGACAATTGGGAAATTACTTATAATTATGCATATTTAGTTAATGTAATACTAATTGCTGTCACAAATAGATTCCCAAACTTAGTGACTTAATACATCAGAAATCCTTTTTTCCTCTCAATAATAAGGGCAATCTTTGTTAAGAGATTTTCCTCTAGGTAAAGATTGAAAGACATAGGTTAATTCCATTTGTGTTACTGTCATCTTCTGAGACCTTGTTGTCTTCTGCATCCAGCTGGCAGAGGGAAAAGAAGATGGAGGACTGCTAGTGGAAAGATTTTTGTAGGCCAGACATGAGAGTTGAAGCTCTGTCACATAGACACACTTAAATACCAAAGGAATCTGGGACCTATATAGTATAGGAAAAAGAGGAAATATTAGAAGTCTCTGCTATAATGTATAATCATGTACAATACATAGATATTATTTTCCTGAATTTGAAAGTGAAAAAAAAATCCTACCTAATAAAAGTGTAATATGCAAATTGACCATACCTCCACTACATCCACCAGCCATGCCCACCAGCCAATCAGAGCAAGTATGCAAATAAACCAAGCAAGATGGCTACAGCCACAGAGAGCAGGAGGGAGGCTTGGGTTTCCCAGGCAATGGAGGAACCCAAGCTTTCCACCTGCCCTTGCTGGCCTAGGCCTCCACTCAAGACTACAAAGTTTCAATTATAGAAGGATAATAAACTCCAAACAGAAATTGCTGTGGGCCATGGAGTAAGCAGGAGGCTTTGCTCTGCTCCAGGCTACAAAGTTTCAATTGTAGAAGGTAAATAAATCCTAGATACCAGGGTCTCCTCTTGGGTTGCCAGGGGGCGTAGCCGGCCTGCAAACCACCACAGGCCCCTTGCTCAGACCACTCCATGCCCCAATGCAACCCCCACCCTGATCTGGCAAACCATCTGGCCCCCACTCATGCACCAGGCCTCTATTCTATCTAATAAAAGAGTAATATGCAGATTGACCATCACTCCAACACACAATATGGCTGCCCCCGTGTGGTCAAAGATCCTGCCCCTATGTGGACACAAGATGGCCATCATAAGATGGTCAGCAGGGGAGGGCAGTTGGGAGGTACCAAGCCTGCAAAATAGTACAAACATAATAACAGATATCATGTACACTTCATAACATATAAAACATAACATTTTGTCACATTTGAATTAGATATATGTTAAAATAAATATATTATTAAAATTATTTACCTATCCAATTTCCCTCTCTTCATTCTTCTCCTTTTGTTAAAGTAAACACTAAATCTTTATTATATGCATAGATAACTTATATGGTTTAAAACATATAAGTAAAAGATATCATCTGGTATATAGTTGGCTTTTTCACTTAATGTTATATTTCCTAGGTTTAACCATATATATGTATTAGATCCAATTCATTCATTGTTTCCAGTTAACTTCTTTTAAAAAAATAATTTATATTTTTAAATAGTATTGGATTGATAGATTAATACAAAGAATTCTCATATGCCATTCACTCAGATGCGGCAGTTAATACTTTATCGCATTTGCTATGTCATTTTTTCTCCCTATATATTTATTATTTTTATTAGAGTGTATGTTTAAGGCATGATGCTCCTTTACACCTAAATACTTCACTGTAAATTTTCAGAGAACAAGACATTCTTTTTTATAACCAGGATACAATTATCAAAAACCAAAACTTTCATATAATACTATTATCTAATTTATAGATCTTTTTGAAAATCTTGCTGTGATCTGTTAAAAAAATTTTTTTGGTCCAGAGGCCAATCTGATAGTACATCATGCCACTTTAGATTCCTTTCAATTGGAGCAGCTCTTTAGTCTTTCTTTGTGTTTTGCAACCTTGACTTTTTGAAGAGTACAGGCTATTTATTTTGTAGACTGTGTCTCAATTTTGGGTTTGTGTGTATTTTTTCATGATTAGAATATATTTTGGCAGGAATACTATAGAAGTGATGTATGTTTCTCAAAGCATGACATAAAAAGTACAGGATGTCATTTATCCTGTAATTGATAATGTTAACTTAAAGTGGTGTCTTCCATTTTTTATTTAATGTAGTTACTAATATTTTAGAGGAATTACTCTAAGAATAAGTATGCATTATGTTCTTCACCAAACTCTCACTAGTTTTATCTCCGTTGATGATGCTTGAATTGGTTTTACTGTGATGTTTATCAAATGGTGATTTTCTACTCCATCTTTTTCACATTTGTTTTTTGACACTTTATTGTGTAAAGAAGAACTTTATCTTCTTTCTCATTTATATCAGTATAGACTCAGAATTCCTGTTTTACTAAAAGGGTTATAATTTATTGCTCGTTATTTATACTGAGATTAAATTACCTCAGATTTGACCCTTGGGAGCCCTTTCAAACTGCTTCTTGCATTTTTTTTTTTTTTATATATTTCCATCATTTTTTTGAGCATTTCCTCACCTTTTGGTACTGTAAGACATTTCAGGTACACCTCATTTCTCACTTTCTCTCCTCCAACCCCCAATCCCAAACTTGGAAGTAGTCATTCCTTAAAGAAGCCCTACTTCCACTTAGTGGAAATGATATTCAAACACAGTCAGTGCACTAGATACATTCATTGCTACTGGGTTACATTGTTTCTAGGCCTCCTCAGGGGACAAAATTAGAAATATATACTTATTTCTTCTCTGTCTGTTAAAACTGTGAGTTTGTACTGATACCTCCAATTCTAAGCCAATCCTATAAATTTATTCTACTTTTCTCCGTGTTGGAACTCCCTTCTCCTGTAGTGAAAAATCTGGCAACCATTATTCTCAGTATATTTGCTTAATCCTAAAAAAATCTGAAAGTAGTTACAGAATTGCTAACCCATCACTGCTAAAAACAGATGTAAGAAGGTACAAAGCTTTTACCTTATAGCTCTATACAAGCAGGAAGTGAAGGCTAAGGCACAACCTTTAAACTGCTTCCTTGAGTAGTGAAGGTGTGCCTCAACACATGCACAGAGCACGTCTGCAAAGGTGGGAAATTTATTGGTTCAAAGCATTTAACTTTTCAACTATTACCTGGCTGACTACTCAGCTATCCTGTCTGAGACTTACGTGGACACACATGATGAATACAGAATTTAAAGAATTGGTCCAGGAAAATTACTAAACAAACAAATAAACCTCTTGGGGTGAGGGAGAGTTGCCACACACTCTCATTTAAAATGTTCAGTATTTAACAAAAATTATGTAAGGAACAATGACAAAAATAATGGTTTAAACACTTTTCTCATTACTCTTAAAATATCTCAAAATGTTGTTCTTGCTTTAAAATTATATTTTTATTTAGATTATTTATTTATTTTGGAATCATATGTCATCTATTAGAAGACCAGCATAATGCCTCCAAGGATCCCCAAATGTACAAAACCTTTTCACAGCCCTAGCAGTTGTAGCTCAGTTGCTTGGGGGATATTCCATGCACCAAAAGGTTCCTGGTTCAATTCCCAGTCAGGCTACATGCCCAGGTTGTGGGGGTCATGACGGAGATTGATGTTTCTTTCTCTGTCTCTCTCCTTCTCCCTTACTTTCTCTCTAAAAAGCAGTAACAAATCTTAGGGAAAAAATCAAAACCTTTTTACATATGGATAAATCTTACTTTGACATTTAACATTTGATTTAATTCTGGCTAAGTTACTATTAATAGAAGATCAAAATAAGAAAATTTATCCCACAATTTTAATAAATCCAGTTTACTTGACAACTTATTTTAGTAATTATTGAGTCAATCCATCTTGCATTTATTAGCCTAAATATCTAGATTTGTTTTAAGAAAACATATTATGTAAAAACATAGATTTATATTTAAGTTAAACACGAAGTTCTTAATATTCAAGAAGATTCAACAAAGTTTAATTTGAATTGAATTGTGATATTTTCTGAAATCTCCATCTTGAATTTGAGGGAAATGGGAATTTAAGGTGGTAAAGCTCAGAAGCTGAAGGCTATATTTTCTTATTTTTCTTGCAGAAAAAATCCCCCAGGTTTCTCACAGACTACTGTGAAGGTGGTAATAGAGTAATGTTAATTCAAATCTTATGCAAATATATATATATATATATATATATATATATATATATATATATATATATATATGTATGTGTATATGTATATGTATATATATATGTATATAAAAGGCTAAATATATAAAGTGTCTCCTTGGAAGTTCAATCACTCGCTATGACATGTGCTGACCACCAGGGGACAGCGGTGGGGAGTTGAGGAAGAGAAAAGGGAGATGTGGGGGGGTGGGGGAGGGGGGAATTGCATGCTGGTGGTATGTGGGTGGTGAAGGAAGGAGGCAGGGAAGCAGGGAACCTGATCAGCCCTGATCGCCTGCCAGGCCTAGGGATTCTACCCATGCACGAATTTTATGCACTGGACTTCTTGTTTCTGATAATACCTTTTTTTTTTTTTTAAGCTGTGGGCTTTGTTTCCAGATGTGAATATTAATAGAAAATTAAGAAAATAATACAATAAGTGGATAATTATTGTTTTTTCTCTGGGCTGGTGAATAGCATCTACTGAAGGAATCTTATATAGCTTAAATATAGAAGCAATTCTGAAATTGAGAGTTGTATAAGGCTCTAGCCAATAAGTGATTTTTGGCTATGTTTAATATATAAAGAGAAATTTTATGTGTAAATTATTTTGTATAACATTTTGAGTTATAGAATTTAGTCTTCCTCTCTGTGTGTTTTAGAAGAGACCAGATAATCATTACACATTTATTTTTCAGAGTTAGATTTCACAAGCAGAGTTTGCAGTTGGAATTATGACACTGACATATTTGCTAATGATAACATGCTGGGAGCTACCTGTGTGCTGCAACAGTGGAAAGCAGTCCATTAGTGTTTAAATTGATGCACTTTGGGACTTTATATTCTTCCTAAGGTCTATTTCCATACTTAATTATGGAAATGACTTGGGGGAAAAGTCACATAGCCACTTC